GACTCCCCGTGTGATAATGTCCTATGTCACAACTATTAGCATGGCATTTTGTGGTATATATAGGAATTAGGGTTGACAAGTAACATTAGTGCAAAAAAGCATTATTAAGGATTCTGAGGCAACCCTGTCATGGAGTTTACTTGGCAAGATTTGTGCAGAGGGGGTTTTCTATGGCCTTTCCTTGAGGCTGAGAGAGTGTGCAAATTGCCCAAGGTTAACCGGTTGGTTTCCATGGCTAAGGAAAGATTGGAACCCAAGTCTCATGGTGTCCAGCACTCAGACTATTATGCCATGCTAGAACAGGCCCAAGCTGCTGCCACACTGGAGAATTAATGCAGTTTTTCACTGCTTTAACTGCCATGCCTCCATGCTGTGGAATTCTGGGATTTGTAGTTGGTTGTGGCACCAGAGCCCTCTGAAAGAGAAGGCTAAATAGCTCACAATATTACAAATCCTAGAATTTCATAGCATAGAGCCATGGCAGTTAAAGCAGTGTCAAACTGGATTATTTCTGCAGTGTGGATGCAGCCCCAGTGAATCAATAACTGAATGTTTACTTAGGTAGATAAAATCAATAGGTCTATTCTAGAATTTGGGCCCAAGAGTGTGCTCTGTGTTACCATATACACTACTGTGCTAATTCCACGTCCCTCATTAAACTATAAATCCCAAGATATCCTAGTCTTTGACAGAAGGACTGGCAGAGATCTGGCTTGTGGGTTGAGCAGGAGGCGCAGCATTTCACTAGCGATGGAAATCCTTGCAAGTTTTGTTTTTGCAGGCAAAAATGGATAATTTTACTGTTTTTCTCCTTGCAATGAGAAAGTTGTTGTAAACTCAGAGGTTTCGCCATTTGGGAAGTATTCTGTGGTGGAAAACATGCACATAGGATTTCTTTTGGGACAGAAAAACCAGAATGTGCTATTTTCTAGGCAGGCAACCTTTTGTTCCCCCCAGTAGAAATGTTATTTCTATGCAGAAAAATCGTTTTCTGAACAGAAATGTTATTTCTTTTGCTGAAAATAATGTTCTCAGTGCAGGACAACTGTTTCCTGTGCAAAGAATGCCATTATTTGTTTGAAGTAACTACGGCTGTTGCCACATTCAACAACTAATGCGCTTTGACTCTGCTTTAACTGCCATGGCTCCATGCTATGGAATTCTGGGATTTGTAGTTTGTTGTGGCATCAGAACTCTTTTGACATAGAAGATGAAATATCGTGCTCAGTGGAATAGGCTAGTGAACCCTGATTCATTTGACATCTTTGCGGTGGACCCTACATCATTGGATGTCTTTGAACAGAGGTTGGATGGCCATCTCATGGGAGTGCTGTACTTATATATTGTTGTACATCAAGGGGGTTAGACTAGATGATTTTTGGGGTACCTTCCCGCTCTGAGATTCTATGGCAAAAGGAAGGACTTTTTTGGATAATGGAATAGGCTGATGGACCCTGCTTCATTAGATGGTTTTGTGGTGGACCCTACTTCGTTACAGACGTTTGAACAAAGGTTGGATGGCCATCTCTTGGGAGTGCTGCAGTTGTGTATTTTTGTATGTCAAGGGGGTTGGACTAGATGACCTTTGGGATCCTTCCCACTCAGCAAGTCTATGGTGAAAGGAAGGACTTCTTTGCACAGTGGAATAGGCTGGAAGACCCTGCTTCATTAGATGTTTTTGTGGTGGATCCTGCGTCATTAGAGATGTTTGAACAAAGGTCGGATGGCTCTTTCTTGGGAGTGCTGCAGTTGTGTATTCTTGTATGCTAAGGGGGTTAGGCTAGATGACCCTTGGGGTCCCTACCAACTCTAAAATTCCATGATTCTATGACAGCTACTGGGGAGGGAGAAGAAGCATAGAACTCCACATGGAGAACACTATGTCTCACATGCTTTCATGTAGGACAAGGTGAGAAAGTGTGGCCCGTGGACCATGTGTGGCCTTTGAGGCCCACTTCTGTGACCCTCAACCCCATTTTTGGGGGGTGATAATTTTTTTCACCTGAAAATGATCCAAAATATACTAAAAGCACCCACAAACGTTGCAATTTAACTCCCTCACTTGCCTTCCAGACCCTTTCAACACCCTAGAAGCCATTTAAAATTGGCCAAAATCACCCCAAAGTGTAGAAGAATGTTGGTTGGAAAACCACAGGAGGGAAATCCCTCCTTGATGTGAAACCTTGCCTTTCCCATCTTCTTCCTGCACTGCCATTTCCACAACTTCTGCTTGTATTTTGCCCATTGCCCTGATTTACCGAACTTTCCCCCTTTGACCAAGCATGGTTTTGGCATTTTTCCGACATGCATTTTAGCAATTGCCTGGTTTAAACTCTGCACATTGTTGCCCATGATTTCTTGGGAGCATGCTATGAACCTGGCAAAGGTGCAAGAGCGCAAGGCTGGGTGCGCATTTCCAAATAACGAGTCTCCGGAGGTATGAGGAAGCTATTTTTGCAAGACTGTCGGGTCCATGGAAATTTCTTTCCATCCTTATCATTGACAGCACCTTCCCTTTCCAGTCCCAAGGGACCTAGGTAGAATCCCAGAATCACAGAGTCGGATAGGACCCCAAGAGCCATATAGTCCAACCTCCTTGCCATGCGGTGTGTAGATCTGCCCCGCTTTTTCACGGGTCTTCAAAACCATCCCTGTGTCGTGGCGCTTGGGAATACGCTGCCAACAAAAAGGAGAAAAAGAAGTTTCCATGGATTCAACAGTTTTAACAAAGAGAGCGTTTTCATACCTCCCGAGACTTGTTATGAAAAAATGAGCTCCCTCAGGCTGCATCGAGTTGGAAGGATCCCAAAGGTCATCTAGTCTAACCCCCTTGATATACAAGAATATACATATACAGCACTCCCACGAGATGGCCATCCAGCCTCTGCATCTACATTGCAAAATTAATGCAGTTTGATGCCACTTTGACTACCGTGGCTCAAGGCTGTGGAATTCTGGGGTTTGTAGTTTTGTGAGATCTTTAGCCTTCTCTGTGAGAGAGAGCTCTGGTGCTCCCCCAACAAACTACAAATCCCAAGATTTATTTATTTATTTTATTTTTATGCCGCCTTTCCCACAATATAAAAACACTCGAAAACAGTTTTTTTAAAGACAACTCAAATAACCTAATTAAAACACTACAAAGTTAAATTTTTAAATATAGAAAAGTGAAAAAACATAATCTAAAACACTCACCCCCACCCCCCAAATAAGATGGAGCCATGACTGTTAAAGTGGAGTCGATCCTCATTAATTCTGCAGTGTGGCAGCAGCCTCAGACTGCCAGGCTCAGCTTTTTTTAAAACCCATCTTCCCTTTTGATTCCTTCTCTGGGCTCAGCAATGGTCTGAGCCCTATTGTTAGTCAAGACTAGAGTAGAACCATTGAATCATTGGGATTTACTCATGTGTTGCCTTACCATTCTGCAGTTGATTCAGCAAGTCTACTCTACTATTTGCTTTGTTGAATTGTTTTGGGGGGATGAGTGGGGATGGGAATGAGGGATGGGAGTTGATTTGATGTTATCTATTTTGATGTTTTGAACTCTGTACGCCGCCCCAATTGCTTGGCA